GGTGGGCTACAGTTCATGGGGCTGCAAACAGTCAGACACAACTGAGTGACCAACACTTTCTTGGAGTGCCAAGAAAGCGTGCCGGCTGCCAAGAGAGACCCCAACCGTGTGCACATGTCGATCCCAAACTATCCATCCGTTTCCCCCTCCTCCCCACCCCCGGCAGCCATAAGTTTAAGGCGACAAGTTCTGACGTGTTACATGCCGGTAGTCACAGCAGATAAGACATCTGTCTTACCTGATCTCAGCTCACGTTCCCACAGGCAGGATGTATAGGCATCTACATCCGCTAGAGTCTTCCTAACCGGAACTCAGATGGCACAACAGTCAGAGAGCAGAAACTTCATTCCGTGGACACAGCACAACCAGACAAGTCCTTCCAGAAAGCCCAGGGCACACGCCTGCCTTCCCAGGAGGACCCTCTGCGCTTTCTCCCGTCTACACTGGCACCTGTGGGCTGGTCCCCAGGCAGAACTGCAAGGTCAAGGCCAAAGGGAGTAAAGCGGGGGCTCCTGAATAAGAGGTTGGAGGGGGTGGATGGAGGGAAGGAAGGAGGGAGGGAGGAGCAGCCAGTTCAGTATTTGGCGTTTTCAATGAAACACGCAAATCACTGAGCTCCCCTAGGCCAGCGGCCTGTCTGCAGGGCGGACGGTGCTCCTCCGGCTTTAAGTCGTGATCCCCCAGCGGCACAGCCACCAGGCTGGGCTAGAAGGACTCTGTCCCCAAGGGAGAGCCTGGACTTCGCACACACCTGACTCTCCCAGAAGCAGAGCGGCTTGGCCCTCCGAGGCTCGCCCCAGACTTTAGGCTCTTTTGTGGCAAAATTACGCCATCTCGTGGCCTCACGAGATTCGAAAGCTGAAGTCGTAAATTGGGATGCATTCAGGGTTCTGAGGATACGAGGACAAACACAGATGAGGCTCACAATGGATGTCCAATCTGCTTTCTGAAGTTCAAGTGCACATTATTCTGCAGTAAACACAGCTTGCAGCTCAGTCCGCCTGGGTAGTGGAGTACCAAGAAAGAGTGCTGGTGGTCAAGAGAGACCCCAGCTCATGCGTCTTGGAGGTTAACATCCTTTGTAGCAGCACAAAACAGTTCTTTCCTTTTACCCTTTGATTGTGTGTGTGTTAAGTCACTTCAGTCATGTCTGGCTCTGTGCGACCCTAGCCTGCCAGGCTCCTCTGCCCATTGAATTTCCCAGGCAAGAAGACTGCAGTGGGTTGCCATACCCTCCTCCAGGGGATCTTCTTGACCCAGGGGATCAAACCTATATCTCTTCAATCTCCTGCATTGGTCAGGGGGTCCTTTACCATTAGCGCCACCTAGGAAGCCCCATCTGAACACAAATTTGAAATTCATTTTCTTATCCAGGGAACAGAACTTCCAAAAGCTGCAACCAACCAGAAGTGCATAAAATAATATCATTCCTATGTAGAAACATGAAGAATTTAAAATAAACAGCAGAAAACCTGAACAAGTTCACAGCAACTAAGGGAACAGGCTGAGAAACAACTATTGTTTTATCTAAATAAATGATGCTAACATCCATCAGTCATGGAATAAGCACTCAACACATAGCAGGCACAGACCTAGATCTCTACTTGCATAATCTCATTTAATCCTTCCAACATCCCCATCGTGTTGGCACTGTTATGAGTCCCGGTTTTCAGCGAAGATAAAGGAGGCAGAGGCAAACACAAAGTGAACAGCTCATTTGAAACTCCAGGGTTCATACACAGGCCCAATGTTGGTATAAGCAGTGCCCTGACCTGTCTGCAAGCTGACTTCCTCTGCTTCAGCCAAGCCAGTCAAACCGGGGGGTGTGGGTCTAACTTATCACTCTTTGACCCCACTGTGGTCAAGAAACCCTTCTGGACACAGCAGCTGCACCGCACACCCCGCCTACAGCTGGCCGTGGCCACGGCCAGCCTGGGCTTGGTCCCGACACTCATCTTGCAGGTGGCTCCACAGAGGTGCCCATCTTTCCACGGTCCCCAGGCTGACTGCCCCTTTCTGCATAACCTCGGTTAAGCCACACTGGTGTTGACCGGGTCCCTCTGCGGGAACGGCCACCTCGCACCGGGTCACACCTGTGCCCAGGGCCAGCCCCCACCTGATGACAGGTGGATGCAGAAGAGGAGGCCTGGACCTTTCCCCTCCACACGCTGCCCGCCCCCCAGGATGGGCCTGAAGCCCCTGCCGGGACTCTATTCATGGTCTGAGTGCACGTCGGCTTCTATCACAGCCCACCCGGGCTGGTCCTGTGCAGACAGCTGCTGCTCCGTCTCCATGGCAACTTAATCGGGGCAGGTGGTAAAGACCTGGCGTGTGTCAGGGAGCCCCACGTGGGTGCGGAAGCCGAGGGGCCGTCTCCTGCGTCTCTCTGGTCAGCAGGTTGAGAGTCAGAGCCGGAGCGGAGAGGCAGGAATACCCACGAGGGCACGAGGCTCGGGCTCTGCAAGAGAGAGTTGAGATGGAGAATGAAAAATGGAATCAATATAGACCCAGGAACTGAAGCCTCTGGAGTTTGGCAGCAAATCCGTGTTTTTGTGCAGGTATCCCTCCAAAGCAGCCCTCCGAATAGAGCTCCCCTGGGCTCGCGCTGTCTGCCCAGTGGGGGTCAGTACTGCACGCTCACTGCGTGTATCTGTCCTTCCAGGGCCCGCTACCCGGAAGCTTTCACTCCAGGGCCTGAGACTCTGTCCCCGACAAGCTCCCAGGTGCTGCCTTCAGGGGCCTCTAACATCCAAAGTTAAAATTCACCATGCACTGTTCTGTTTTTGTTCATTTCTTATTAAATATCATTTCAAAAATTCTTCATGGGTGAGATAGTATCTTTTTCTTTTCTGAGCAAAGTACCAAGTAGAAAATAAATGCACTTTTAAAAAAAAAATAATAAATGCACTTTTACCTGCTAATCCCTTAAAGGGAAGATTATGTTATTTTTAATTGGACCATAAGTTAATGGCACTAATACACACTCATTTTCTGCGGGTTGCATCCTGGTTGCCATGGGAACATATTTTAGCCATTTGTGTCATCCTGCAGTCGTGCTTCCATCAGTTAACAGGGATATAGCAAACAGAGTAGGAGAAACAGATTATCAAAATGCTGAATTTCCTTTTGCTTTAAAAAAAAATTTCAATGGGAAGATATTGCTTCACGCGGTTGGGTTGGTTTCTACCTCCTTTTGCTTTTAAGGTAGCAACATCCAAAACTCGTTTATAGCTGGTTCATTAATTTGAAGCTGTGAGAGGTCCACTTGCTTTCAGAGGCCAGCAAAGGGGTTTCCTGCCAGTCTCAGACGGACACGAAGAGGGTGACTGGAAACCCCGTTCACAGCAGGGCTGAGGCTGCGGCGGCGGCTTGATGCTGACGACACCACCTGTCGACAGAAGGATGGAGAAAGAGCAGAGTCCTGTCCTCACTGGCCAGGCCCTCTCTGCTCTCGGGAGGCAGGATTCAGGGATGGCATTTTCGCTCCTCAAGCAGTTCAAGGTGTAAAACCTCTCCTGGAAGGCCTAAAGCCCAAGAGATAATCAGAAAAAGAATCACCTTTGTGTCCTTCTTTGGAAAACCACACGAGAGTAAAACGGAGAAGCGGGACAGTTTCCAACAGAGAGACCCCTGGGGAACACAGCCCTCCACTTCTCCCTCGGGGGTTCGCGTGGCTCAGCGCTGCGGCAGGGACCCGGGTCAGGGCACGCTGGGCACCGCTGGGCACCGCTTAGCTGGCGCACAGGTTCCAGACCTTCTCCTGAGTCGGGAATGGAGGGCCGGTGGGCACCCGGGTGGAAGAAATGCCTGGCTTGCGTCAGCCGTCTGAACACCCAGCTTACCTTTCAGGACCTCACCAGCCCTCCGAGGGGGGAGCTTCACACAGGATGGGCTCTGCACCGTTCATATACTGACAACATGACCAGCTTTCTCCCCACAGCTGACTTTAGGTGCCAGATGGAGGCACCTTATGTCTCAGACTCTTCAAATATGCTCTAGTTATATTACTCATGAGAGTCCCCTGGACAGCAAGGAGATCCAACCAGTCCATCCTAAAGGAGATCAGTCCTGGGTGTTCATTGGAAGGACTCATGCTGAAGCTGAAGCTCCAATACTTTGGCCACCTGATGGGAAGAACTGACTCATTGGAAAAGACCCTGGTGCTGGGAAAGATTGAAGGCAGGAGGAGAAGGGGACGACAGAGGATGAGATGGTTGGATGGCATCACCGACTCAATGCACATGAGCTTCAGCAAACTCTAGGAGATAGTGAAGGACAGGGAAGCCTGGTGTGCTGCAGTCCATGGGGTTGCAAAGAGTCAGACAGAATTTAGCGACTGAACGGTAATTGTTACTCATTTATTCATTCTGAAAATATCCTCTGAGCGTCTATCACAGGGCGGGGTCTGGACATGAGGCTGCCCTCGGCCAGGCAAAGCCAGGGAGAGACTGGGGACCCTGCTTAGGGATGGAGACAGCAACATGAAAGTTCCGGGCAGGGGACGCTGGTCATGTTGTAGGAGGTCCAGGAGGGCTGCCCAGAGGAGGAGACCGAGGAGATCCAGTGGGAGCTGGCCCAGAAGGGAAGCCTGGAGGAGCTCAGGGCGGGTGGGGCACACGGGGAGCAAGATTTCAGGCAATGAGAATAGGGTAGAAAGGCCTGCTGGCGGGACTGTGGCTTCTGCAGACTGAGCAGGGAGACCTGGCTAAGCTGTGGGTCTGTGTGGGTCTATTGTGTGTTGTGTGTGTGTGTGCGTGCGCGTGCATATGGAAAAGCAGTTGTGGTGACGTGTAAGGCCGCAGAGAAGAGCTGGGCTGGGTCATGACCAGCTCTGTGAGTTACCAGGTTTATCTGGTCTTTTGTTACCTCGATAAATCCTTCACTCTGAGGACGAAGGGGAGTTGTTGGAGGTTCTTCAGCAGAGGCGTGAGATGAACGGACTTAAAATGACCTCCACGCCACGTGTGGACGACGGCTGGAGCAGGACCAGTCTGGGTGGATCAGCCGGAGCTGACATCAGCCACTTCTGCGCCATGTGTCTCCCGGGATGGTGGTGTTGCCACGTGTCGTTCACTGGCCCCCACATCTGCCTGCCCCGACGTGGGCCGTCTGGCGATCATCTCAGGGTCCCTGCTGACCCAGGAGGCCGCGTGGCGATGGCGCCAGGCTCCTGTTGCAGTGGGACCCTCGGAGCAGCTGTTTGCAGGGGTGTCGTCGGGGATGGCACAAACGAATCGGGCTCTCTCTGGGGCCACAGGGAGCAGCATTAGAGCTAAGGCTGTTTTCTGAAGGTTTACCTCTCCTCTGCCCATTTCGCCCATGTCCTAGGCGTGCATGCGTGCGTTTGTGCTAAGTCGGTGTAGTGTACACTGTGGAAGTGTTAGTGGCTCAGTCGTGTCCAAGCCTTTGCAACCCTAGACTGTAGCTCGCCAGGCTCCTCTGTCCACGGGATTCTCCAGGCCGGAACACTGCGGTGGGTTGCCATGCCCTCCTCCAGGGGATCTTCCCAGCCCAGGGATCGCACTCTCATCTAAGAGAGGCTCCTGCCCTGGCAGGCAGGTCTTTTGCCACGAGCGCCACCTGGGAAGCCCATCTTTTGAGGCAAGCGGCCCTGATCCCTTTTCCTCCACCCACACCTTGGCAGACCGTCTTGACCCTCTGCCTGGGAGCAGCCTCACAGCCTTCATGGGAAACTGGCTTGTTCATTCATCAGCCCTCATGGAGGAAAAGCTCGGTGTTACATTTAGTCCCAAGGTTTTCTGTCATGTCCTGAGAAGCAATTAAGACGAGGTAATATGACAGAGTAAATGGCCAGTGATGAACTGTTATCAGCTCTATCCTGAGTTCTGCACTTTCTAAGCTACTTCTAGCTGCAGAGGGACTCAGATTTGAGTGTAATTTCCTAGCTGAATCGTCACTGGAGAGTGTCTGATACAACTTTCTGCCAAGTACTGTATGAAACCCAAGAAATGAGAATAGGAAATTTGAGATGCTTTATATTATCTTTGTTTCAAGATGCTTAAATTGCTGTCGTGGGGTTGGGTTCTTGCACACCTGTGTCAGGCATTGCCTCTCCCCAGGCCCCCCTGGGAAGCCAGCCCCTGTCACTACCGTCGGCTGCTGGAGGGGTGGTGGTTTGTGCATGGGCTTCTTGGGGCAGGGGTCCTAAGGTGGGGTGGAGAGGCCTCCGAGGGCTGCTCCGGGCCCAGGCCTGTCTGCAGAAGGGACCACGTGTTCCCCGGTGGGGACCTCCTGCTCCCTGACTGGGGGCTCTGCCCCTGGGACCTGGGTTTGCCTTGGACACCCCCGCTCCCCTGTGGTCAGCTGAAGGGACAGAGGGAGGGCAGCAGAGGGAGGAGGAGTGGACGGCAGGTGTGGAGACCCCTCCACCGGCCCCCCGGCAGGACGAGAGAAATGTGGAGACTCTTATCTCAGGGCCCAGAAAAGACGTTCTCAAGCCTCGCGTCTCCCCTCTTGGAACTTTCTTGTCCTGCTGCCTTGTGTGTGAAAAGGCCACTGGCTCTGGAGAGCTAGCTCTGTGTCTGAGAGGCAGGACGAGGAAGGAAGTAGGCAGCTCCTGGCTTTTGTTCTAGGACTATGGGCGAGAGGTTGGTTTCCTTACAGACTGTTCACCAGGATGTGTCCGCCAAAACATGTCACACGGGAGTCTGCAAACAGGGAGAGTCTATTTGGGGCCTTAAGAAGGGCAATTTGGAGACACCGATTCAGGGTAACCCCAAAGGAGAAAGGATCAGGGTCTTCTAAAGACACAAAGCCAGGGGAAAAAGGAAAAGAAAGAAGAAAACGAGGCAGGAAGATACGAGAAGCGGCCTGGATAGAACTGTGACTGACGGACGTCGAGTCAGAAACGGTCTGCCCTTCAGGACTCCTTTGTCCTTTAGTGCAAACATTTGTCCTAAAATCATGTTTTAGGGCTGGCGTCCAATAAGCAGATAGACGGCCCCAAGTCATTTTAGGGTAAATGTCCCAGTATTTTGGGGCTTCCCAGGGGCGCAGTGGTAAAGAACCTGCCTGCCAATGCAGGAGCCACAGGAGACGCAGGTTTGATCCCTGAGTTAGGACGGTCCCCTGGAGGAGGAACTGGCAACCCACTCCAATATTCCTGCCTGGACAGTTCCATGGACAGAGGAGCCCGGGCAGGTTCCAGTCTGTGGGGTTGCAGAGACTCGGACGCGACCGAGCCCAGCCGCCTGCAGGCACATCTGCCTATAGGTCTGACATCTGCCTTTCCAGCAGGTATTCTGGACGACTTCATCAGGTCAAGAGGTCAGGCCCCCCTCCAGGCAGAGGCGAGCGTGTCATCTTCCTCTGTGGCCTCCCGCTCCATTTCACAGAGGTCGCTGAGCAATACCGACTCCGTTGAGATTTTCCTTCCACAGATGGGAAGGGAGACAGGGAACCCGAGCAGGAATTACACATGATGAAACAACAGTAATGATTATAATCCTGAAAGTCAACATGGATTCAGCACTTGGTGTCCACACCTACAGTCAGTTCTTGTTATCTGCATGTTATGTTTGACAAACTTGCCGCAAACACTGGTTTACTAAGATTGAGGCGCTGCTCCTAGGAGAGACATAGGTCAGGTTCCTGCGAGCTCCTGAGAGCACTTTCCTCAAATGATCAACCTACAACCCTGCCTGATGTACTTCTGCTTAAAAACATCTTAGCGCGCATTATTGATTCATTCACGTGGAACTCACAGCCATCAGCATAGAACTCAGCCTGAATGAAGCTTCCCTAACACACATTTTTCCTTCATAAGCTTTCTTGTGCTAAAGACATTAGACAGCACTTCAGCACGAGGCTTGTGGTCTATTTTAAACAGTGAGATCACCAACAACAGGCACAAATGTGTGAAAAATGTGGCGGTAAGCAGACCATGAGAGTGACGCTTGTTTGCAGTATGAGTGGAAATGAGAAGGCACAGCATGGTCTCACTCCACCCCAGCCCGACCGTGAATGTTGGGTGACCAACTTTTCACGGGTCTGCACATGCCCCCAGTGACTGCGAACAGGCATGCAAGTATTAACTTTGGGTTACAAATAAACTTTGGCCAGTGGGGGTGAATTTGCAATATAGAACCCCTGAATAAAGAAGTTCAGGTGATGTATTATTTTTATTTCATCCTCATAACAAACGTGCAAGATAGGAACCACGATCACCTTGATTTTCACATGACACAGTGAAAGAGCAGTGGAGGTTGGTTTGCCCCCAAATCACAGCTACAGAACAGCAGCGTCAGGCCTCCAGCCCAGGCCACCCGACTCCAGAGCCTAGACTCGATCATCGCGTCCCGTGGGTTATGCCTTCAGTGCATGTTATGCAGTAATTTCTTAGGAAACTAAGTTTGACTCACAGGGCATGAGAGGTGAGAAAGTCCAGACCACACTCTTAAATCTCCAGTATTATATTCTAAGTAAAATTTCTTAAACCCAGGTACAGGTTGAAAGATGTGAAATTGCCCTTTTCAGGTTAAACAGAGTCAGACATTGGCAATTTCACATGGTTCAGTCTTACATATCCTTGGAAAGCTTTCTCCCCATTAGTAGAGGTAGTTAATTTCATCATTTTGCATATAAAATTCAAGTTACTATACTTCAAAAGGAAAAATTTAAAAAGCAGGATAGATGTACTCTTTTTGTTCAATAGAAGCATAGAGGTTTACCATTTTACAGCAGATGTGTTCATCTATTTTCTGATCTTTTTAAGTTAAGGAAAAAAGGGGACAATCTCACACTTCAGTATAAATAGGCCAAATATAAGTATTTTCCACCTAAAAGATGCAGAGCATTGGCTTTATCAGAGCAACTGCATCGTGTTTTTCTAGGGGTCTTATGTTTTCTATCTCACTGAGATTAGATAAAATTCTACTGAAGACAGTAAGGATGGACAATAAAAGTTTTGGGGACTTCAGCTTTTAAATGTGAGATTTTAGGAAAGGAACAAAGTAGGTGATTTAATAAGCAAAACAGTAGGCAGGCATTTTCATCACGATCACATCAAACTGTAAGGCAAAACGCATCACTTGGTGATCTTTGAAGGAGGGCCAAGGGCTTTCCTGGTGGCTCAGTAGTAAAGAACCTGCCTGCCAGTGCAGGAGATGCGGGAGACTTGGGTTCGATCCCTGCGTCAGGAAGATCCCCTGGAGAAGGAAATGGCAACCCACTCCAGTATTCTTGCCTGGGAAATCCCATGGACAGAGGAGCCTGGTGGGCCACAGTCCATGGGGTCACAACTCAAGAGTTGGGCACGACTGAGTACACACCCAAGATTCTGTGGAATTCACACTGTACAGGCAGCCCTAGTTTCTCCTCTCTCCTTAGCATGGTAGAAAATGAGAAAAAAAGTCACTATTTCATTGAGTGTCCACCCACGCAGTGCAGGCGGAGAATTGTGCTTACACTGTTCAGAGGTTTGCAGTGTTTATGCACAACTGGAAAGGTGGGTTGGATTAGCTATTCCTTATACAGGTAGGATTTCACTCTCACAAACTTACACACCTCTCACAAGGAAAAAGGAAGAAGGCAGCAGCAAGAGGCTGCTGCCTTCTTCCTTTTGCTTGAGACAGTTTGAAGTACAGTTGACCCTTAAACAAAACAGGTTTGAAATACACAGGTCCACTTAAACATGGGCTTTTTTTCAAAGTAAATGCTACAGCATTACCGGGTCCTCGTTGGTTGAGACCACCATGCAGAACCATGGACACAAAGGAACCGAAGACAGAGATGATTCACACATATGACAGCCCGGGGGTAAGCTATACAACAATTTTAGACTACAGTTTGGGCTGGCGCACCTAACCCCCACATCGTTCAAGGCACAACAAGACTTTAAGACTGAACCCTTGTCCCTGTTTTCACATTGTACTAAGTTGCTTAGTGGTGTCCGACTCTTTGCGATCCTATGGACAGTAGCCCACCAGGCTCCTCTGTCCGTGGGATTCTCCAGGCAAGAATACTGGAGTGGGTTACCATGCCCTCCTCCAGGGGATCTTCCCGACCCAGGGATCGAACCCGCGTCTCTTTCATCTCCTGCAATGGCAGGCGGGTTTTTACCACTAGCGCCACCTGGGAAGCCCATTCTGATACTACCTCCTAGCATTCTTCCGTCAGGCCTGGACTGGGGTCTACGGCACGGGGCCTCGGGTCTGCAGCGCTGGACAGGAGTCTGCAGAATCAGACTCTGGTGCAGACACTGGACGTGCGTCTGGGCGCGGGACCTCTGGCCTGCACTACTGGACGGGGGCCTGCAGTAATGCATGTCCGGTCTGCAGAGCTAGACTTCTGGTCCGGGCACTGGACCCCCGGGTCTGCAGGCCTGGATCTGGGTGCGAGGCACCCGGCGTCCAGGACACCAGTGAGGATCCACGTTCGTGGGCCTATTCATCCAACCCAGTGGCCGTGCGCTCGCTGGGTCCCGACTCCTGGGGGTGGGGGTAGACAGTGACGGCTGAACCCGAGCGCAGCTGACTCCCACTCTTCGCGTTGCAGAGTAGCCGCTTCGTCTCCGGGGGTGCAAGGGGCGGGTGGCGAGCGCAGCACCGACACCTCGTTCCCCGCAACCGCAGGTGCCCAGACCTGCGAGCTGCCGAGCCCGACACGCATGCGCAGGCCGCTAGGTCGTCCGCAGGGGGCGGAGCCGGAGCGCCGGAAGCTGGAGACCGGGACTTCCAGCCGGCCGGAAGAGTCTCGACTTCCGGGTTTTCTCAGTGGGCGAGAGAGGGGCGGGTAGGGCGCCGCGGCTGCGGCCATGGAGAAGCTGCGGCGGGTCCTGAGCGGCCAGGACGACGAGGAGCAGGGCCTGACCGCGCAGGTAACGAGCCGGCGCCGGGGTCGCGCCGGGGCGGGCGCGCGGAGCTGGGCCATGGGCAGGCGTCCGGCGCCTCCCGGGAGGGTCTGGGGAGCAATCCAGGTGGGCGTGGCGTCCCTGTGGAGTCTGCGGGTGCTCGTGTCGAGCCCCTTCTCCCCAGCTGTGGCCTTGAGACCCTCAGGAATCCGTTTCGTTGCCCGTCATCCTCCCCCAGAGAGCCCGCCCGACCCCGCGCCGCCGTCCCCCAGCCTAGCCCGGTGCTCCGCGCCCGCTGTGGACTCTGAACCTGGCTGGCGGCGCGGTAGGCGTGCGGGTGCCCGTGCTGCAGAAGCGGGAACCGTGAAGCTCCGCCGCCTGTTAGCCCCTGGAGTTAAGGGAGGTGTGAGTGTGTCTAGTCTTGTGGAAGGCAGACTGGAGGGAGAAAAAAAAAAACCCCAGATCATTGAGAAGTGAAATACTACGGAATCAAAAGCTGTCTGTTGAACTCTGTTAAGAGATTTAACAAAAAACAAAAAAACCCTTGTCTCTGTGGTTTACCCACAAGACTTGATCAGGGTTACTTCCTCTAGTTAGAGGGTTAAAAATAGTGCAGCAGGAACTGTTCTGTAAGTATCTGTGTTATTTGCCTGCAGACCAATTCATGCTTGCCTATCACAGAAGTGGAACATTTAAAAGGATGCGGTATTACAGAAGGACCTTTTATTTGTCCCCTCTTCTGTCCTAACTTCCTTCCTTGTGGTCGTAATTGTTCTGCACCTCTAGTGAACAGGATTCTGGACTATTCTGTGAGGGTTCAGAGACTAAAAGCAAAGCATCTGCTCTAAGTGAACTCTGTAACCAGTTTGGCAAATCATAACCTTAACATAAGAACCGGTCAATAGTAATATGAGAAATGTCCATTAGGCAGCAGTGGCTCACCCAGCTCATTTATTGAACTACTATTTTCTTCTTCCCTTTTTGCTCCAGATCTTTGCTATACAAACAGCAGCCCTAGCAGCATGCAGCTATTTCAATTATTTGATTATTCAATTTAATTTTTTTCAATCCAATTCAATTATTTAAATTAATTAGAATTAAATAAAATTTAAAATTTCTTGCAGCCACACCAGCCACGTTTCTGGTGCTGGCTAAGCTTGGAAGTTAGTGGCTGTTGCATAGGACATTGCAGGCTTGGGACATGCCACTCAGAAAGTCCTGTTGAGCTGCTCTAAACCTTGGGGACAGGAGGGTGAGGGTGCCTCTCCTCTTGAGCCCACTCTCTAGAGAGGAGAAAGATTACGTAGAGAAGTCATTGATGGAAGATGGGAGTGACTGACTGGAAGGGACACATGCTGTGAGTTCAGAGGAAGTGGTCATTTATTCATTCAACACATATTTTGGTACCTACATGTGTTTGGTTCGGCTTTCCCCACATGGAATTTATATTTTAATTGGGGAAAGCCGTTAATAAACAAGTAAATATAAAAATGTGTCAGCCACTGGTAAGTGCCACGGAAGAAGGTTAAGCAGGTTGAGGAGGTTGGGATCGCCTGATTGTGTTGGACGGTCATCCAGGGCGTGTCTGTCAGGGTGACATTACAGCATCCCTCCGAAGAGTCCCCAGGGTACCTGGGCAACTCATGCAAATGTAGATCCTGAGAACAGTGCTCAGCTTGTATGAAGGCCAGTAAAGAGGCCGGAGTGTCTGGAACGCAGGGAGAGTGCAGTGCGGCTCCGGATTACGGACCCAGTGAGGCTTTCAGCTTTTACTGTCAGTACGCTGAGGAGCCGTGGGCAGAGCGGGGATGTGACTGACTTGGATTCTAAAGGATCACGTTGGCAGGCCTGTGGAGAACAGACTGGAGGCTGGTCAGAGGACTCGGGGAATGGTCCTGGGGAGAGCCCACTGGCCAGATCAGGGAGATGAGGGTGACGGTGGTTTAAAGTGAGAGTGGCCAGGCTCTGTAAATGGCTTGAGTGTAGAGCTGGTGGGATCAGTGGTTGATGGGTAGGATGTGTGAGTGCTCAAGGAGCCAAGGATGCCTCTGGTTTTGACCTGAGCAGCTGGAGAGAGGGAGTCTCCCTTAGCTGGGCCTGGAAGGTGCAGGTGGTGGGGCGGGGAGTGGGGAGAGTCTGGGTGTTGAGTCTGAGATGCCATGTGCTGAGTGGAGAGGCAGGAAGGCTGCTGGGTGTGAGATGCTGGAGGAAGTACTTGTGATAACCAAGGGATTGTGGGTAAGGGGACAAAAGATAAGGCTCGGGTTTGACCTCTGGGCCTTTCCAGTGTGAGGAGCTCAGGAGAGAGGGGGCAGCCAGGGAAGAAGGGGGAACCTGGAGAGGGCAAGGGCGGGACAGAGACGAGCTGATCAGTTCATGTGAGAGCCAAAACTGAAGGGGCTCACTCAGCCGTCAGTCACTCTGGCCTCTGGCTAAAGCCGGAGGACACGCCAGCTGCCTTGGGCTCCGTCTTCCCCCAACAGTGGGTGTTGATCAGGGATCTTGTAGGGCAGCGAAGGCCAGGGGTCAGGCAGATTTATGGCCTCCGAGGTCAGGGGAGAAGGGCAGGGATTGAGGGGTGAGTCCGGAGGGCCCCTCCCCTGCCGCCCAGCTCTCCTGAGGGCCTTGGGGCTGGGAGTTGCAGGAGGGTGGAAGGACAGGCCGGTTGCCCATCCCTGACCGCGGGCAGGGGCTGTGCACCAGGCGTGCACTTTCTCCCAGCTCCTTTTAACCAAGAGCCAGACCCCTAGCCTGGCACTTAACACAGGCCCCCAGGAGCCCCCAGGAGGTGTTTGTTGAATGAGTCAGGGAATGAAGGAGCAGAGGCTGGAGGATGAAGTCATGCTTTCTGTCTGTTTAAGATGGAAGAGGCTTAAGCCTATTCTGTCCTTGATGGCGGTCGGGGGGTGGGGGGGGGTGGGCGGTGTCTCCGAGGCCACACAGCTCTCTGTTGGCCTTGGGGAGAGAAACCAACTGGGTCAGGTCCCTGGGAGGTCAAAGGGTGTGGCATCTGAAGCCCTGGTGGCTAGGTTGACCTCTGCTCTCTGTGGTGGTGGGGACAGGAAGAGGTGAGGGTCCCAGGCAGCATGGTGGTGGGCGGGCGTCCGTTCTCTGTAGGAGATGGAGGAAGCCCAGGGAGGAAACTCTGGCTCCAGCAGAAGCGCCCAGCGGAACTGGAGGTTGAAGTGGCAGTGGGGCGGAGTGGTCAGCGGCGGTGGAGTGGGAAGCAGGGTGCTGTGGACAGCCATGCGCAAGGGAAGCCCAGCAGGCCGGGGCCAGGGCCCTTGAAGTGCAGACGCCCTGGTTTGATGCCCTGTCGTGCATGACTCTGCCCAGAGGACAAGGAAGGAAGGCTTGAGTCATGAGGGGGTGTTGCCAGGTGGATGGAGGGAAGGGGTACCTTTGCTGTCTTACCGAAGTGAGGCGCCCTGCTATTTGCGCTGGGAAGGGGGGCTAGCGCAGTGGTGAGGTGGGAGCCCAAGGGGACATCATGGCTGGAGAACAGTGGCCTGGGCCTGGACAGGGGCTCATTTCAGGAGAGACCCTGGGCCCCCGAGAGGCGAGGAGCAGAAAGGCTGGGCTGTCAGAGGATGCAGCAGTCAGCCCAGGCTCTGCCAGGAGGGGCAGGACCCCCCACCAGGTGGGGTCCTGGTGAGAGAGGGTGACCGGAAGAGCAGGAGAGGACCAACCAGGAGAGGGATCCTGAAGGGCTTGGGGCGTGAACCCGGAGGGAGGGTGTGCACGCCTGCTTCCCCTACCATCGTCTGGGAGGCTCTGTGTCCTCGCCGTCTCTGCATGCGCAGCTCCTGGGAGCACAGTGCTGGTCGGTGCCCTTGACCTGTGGGTCGTGGCCCAGGAGGCGGGCTCCGGCTTCCACTGCTGCCTCATGCAGGCATCCGCCTCCCGACTCCTCCATCCCCGTGGTCCGTTCCTTCACCTGCAATACCGGTGCTGCCGGGAAGATGTTTTCCTGCATTGTTTCCAACTCATTTTTTTCTTTTTAATGAAGTTCTAGTTGCAGGTGTTGATTTCTTACAGCATAAAGAGGACACCAGAGAACAGGAGGGTCGCTCCCACTTCATGAGATTTCCTCTTTGCTTCCTCTCCCTGTGATAACGAGTGAAGTGACTGGTGGCAGTTTCAGTGTATGTTTCTCTTCTAAGACTCGATGCACGAGGTCGAAGCACTTGCTGCCTTTGCTGGGCCCCTTCCTGATCCAGGTTGGGCTGCACGTCGCACCTCCCCGCTCATGCCCGCGCCGTCTGTCTGCGGGGTCAGGGCTCCCTCTGTCTCTCGTGTGGACAGGGCAGGGCCTGGTTTCTTGGCACTATGGATGGACATTGTAACGTTTTCCCAGCGTTACAATAGGAGTTAAGGACTCTGTGATATGTTTCTGTGTCCTGGACAATCTGCAGGGCTTGCGACAAGTCATTTGCTTGTGGATCGAATGTTCCAAATTTGCAAATGGAAAGAATTTGTCTGGCAGATGACAGTAAGAGGAAAAATATCTGCTGTTATACAAAGAACTGCACTGAAAACCAAGTCAAACAAAGACAGCAGGGTGATCGAAACCTGAAAAAGAAAGTGAGAATGGACGCTGAGTCCACTCACTCCCTGAGTCCGCTCACTCCCTGAGTCCCCGCTGTCACCGTGTGTTCGCACTGACCACTGAGACACCCTGCCCTGGGACACCATTTCCAACCTTTCCCAGACCAGCAGATCCTTTGCTGTGCATGTACCATCTTCAGGGGTCATTCTCTCCCATGTGGTTAAAATGTGCTTGATGTGTATTCTTCCTGATCAGAAAAAAAAATTTTAGATGTTGTTATAGGCAAGTTCATTCTTTGTTTACAGTCGTTAGTTTTAGTATAAACAGATGACATTGCTGGAAACAAGATTGTAAAGCAAATTTAAAAAACATTTAAAATGTGTTTGAAAAAAAGTGATGGATGTTACCTTGGTGGAATCTTGATTTAGTTGTTTTTATCTACTTTTCATGCTACATAAGGATTCACAGACTAATCTGTTGAGGTAAGGAATGTAGACAAAAGTATTTTCAGCTTTTGCATACAAAACTTTCTATTTTTGCTTCCTTATTCTTGAAAATATGTTATAAGCATGTGGTCTTTTAAGTATTTAAGTATATGGTAATAACATGTTAGAAATTTAAATTTTGAAATATAAATCCTTACTGTATATTTATAGTTTTTTGAAACAGCCAGTGTTGATACTTTTTCAGCCTTACTGGGAAATAAATTTTAATAGTGTATTTAGTAATGTAAATATGTATTTACCATTTGCAACCATGTAGCTGATCCTAGAGAGTGCTACACTTAATGAAGAGAAAGACAAATACTATGTTACAGTAGTCCTGATTCTGACTCTCTTGATTCTTCCACATGATTCTGAATCATTCCACCTGATTCTGTGCTGATTCCACTTATACTTGGAATCTTAAAAAGTATGGCATACAACCATATGTTATATGCCAAACAGGTACTGACCAAACAGAAACAGACTCACAGGTATAGAAAACAAACTACTGGTTACCCGTGGGGAGGGGACGTGAGGGCAAGAGAGAGGGTCTAGGTAAGAGATGCAAACCGCTGTGTGTAAAATGGACGAGCAGCCGAGATACATTGTGCAGCACAGGAAAGTATGGCCACTGTTTCCCAGTAACTTCAGAGGGAATATAATTTATAGAAATAGTGGATCACTGTGCTCTACACCTGAAGCTAATAAAATGTTACAAACCGACTGTACTTCCTGTAAAGAAAGTGTGTAATCAGTACTGTATGCAGACTGTTGTATGAGATATGTGGGGTACGTGTTTCCCATATGATTTGGTTAGAATGTACATGACATCCTGGAATGTTTTTGCTCTAGAGTTAGTGATCATTTCAAAGCACGTTTTTTTAATAACTTAAGTCTAGGAAATGCAGGCTTTCGTGAGTTGGTCTTATTTATTTATTTCGTGTTCAAATGAGCTTTTTGTAACTGAAGTTGTCGGGGTACCCCATGGCAGAGGCTGATGGTGGCACCCCAGGTCCTGGCCGCTGGGCGGATGAACCCGTTGCCCTTGAGCTCACAGCTGTCCCCTTGGGCTCACTCTGGAGGTCCTGTGGCACGCTGGGCCCTCCTGGCAACACGCGCACCCCCTCACACACACACCCTGCAGCCAGAGCATCTGGTGGGAGGTGGGTTCCACAAGGGCAGCGGGCCTCACGGCTGGACGGACAGTGAGGTGCGGTTTTCACCGAGCGCAGCTGAAGTCATGGCCCCACCCAGTCCCTCTCCTTCTCTGCCCAGCCTCCCTGGGTCCTCAGGGCTTCCCCTGGGAGTGGCTCCTGCAGGACCATCGCGTCAGGCTCTGCGTGTAGGAACGTGGCCCAGACGCCCTCAGACACACAGACAGAAGGTGTGGGTCCCGACTCCACCTCAGCACCTGTCAGCCGCTCACCCATCTTGTGTCCTCTTTCCCTGGTTTTTAACCAGTGAGCATCTTATAATGTGTCTCATCGCGTATGTCGTTTCCTCCGCATCAGTGCTCCCCCTGTCCCTAACAGTAAGAGTTTTCCAGACACAGTGCTGTTATCTCACCTGCAAAGGTGACAGTGTCTCCAGGACGGCCCGATCCCCAGACTGTTTACATGCCCCTTCACAGCCGAGGAGTCCTCACGTTCTTAAGCCACACTGCTGCGTGCAAAGTAAAACAGCTTCATCGTCTGTGTTGGAGTGGAGATTTGCCTTAATGTCATATAAAGCATCAGGTTGGCCACGTGGTGATGTAAAAACATGTTCTAATTCCCCTTCCTTAAGGTCCTTGATGCCTCGACGCTTAGTTTCAACACCAGGCTGAAGTGGTTTGCCATATGCTTCGTCAGCGGCATCTTCTTCTCCATCCTTGTGAGTTAAAGCTTTATGTTGCTTGATAATTTCTGCTTTGTGTGAGACTAAGCATTCCATTTATCTGGACTGTTTCGATGGGACTTAGTTAGTCACTTGAAATAAAGGGGTAGAGGTCAATAAAAAGATGTAGAGACTAATATTTAGGGGAGTTATGGACTTGAAATAAGAACCACTGTGTGTGTTAGGAGAGTTGCAGTCAGTGATTTAGAAGAGTTTTTACTTTTTGTAACTTGTCATTTATAAAAAGAATACTTAAGTAGAATGATATTTAGATATATAAAGAAGATTATGTAATAGCTCCTTTATATAGACATATGCAAATAGGCATAAGGTTCAAATTAGCAAATAACATTGAAAATTAACTACTTTTTAAGAAACTGTATAGAGACCATATGTTAACACATTTATGCTTAAACATATTATTATATACTTTTAATATTATAGTAGCAGATTTATATTTTAATCTATTACAATGGTAAAATGATTTTTAAATAACTATAACATCTTAACTCAGGGAACTGGATTGCTGTGGCTCCCTGGAGGCATAAAGCTTTTTGCCGTGTTTTATACCTTTGGAAATATTGCTGCATTAGCCAGGTATGTATGGAAATTTGGCTTCTCAAAATGTTTTGTTTCCTTTCATTATCAAAATTCTCTTTTCTAACAGGATATATTTCTGTCGGTGTATACGTATCGTGGTAGCTCAGTGGACTGCCCTGTGGCTCTCAGACGGTAAAGCGTCTGCTTACAATGCGGGAGACCCGGGTTTGATCCCTGGGTTGCGAAGATCCTCTGGAGAAGGAAATGGCAACCCGCTCCAGTACTCTTGCCTGGAAAATCCTATGGACGGAAGAGCCTGGTAGGCTACAGTCCATGGGATTGCAGAGTCCGACACGACTGAGCGACTTCACTTCACATACATATCATGAGTTCAGAATTTACACTCAGTAAATACTTAGACTCCTGCTGTGTGCCAGCTGCCATCATAGTGTTGATGGTGAGAAGAGCCAGCATCTGGAGGTGCTGCCTATGTGCCAGGCACTGTCTGTCACCCCTCCATTATGTATCCAGGTGTAGGAACACAAGAGAGGGGGCAGTTAGTCACCAGGGAAGTGCCTAGTGAGGTGAGCAGGCTGGGGTCCCCCCGACAGCCCTCCGGAGTCCCGGCTTGCAGCTGCCTCGTGATGGGGACGGTCAGATGCCCGGCCGGCCAGCGGGAGCAGATCTGGGGTGGCAGCGGGGTCGGGCGGGGCCGTGTGGGGCAGTGACTCCGAGGACTGGGCGCTGGGCCTCTGGGGGTACTGATGTAGCTGTCACATCTGTCAGCTCTCAGCATTCAGAGGTGAGCCCTGTCTCCTCGGGGACGTTCCAGATCAGAGGTGGTGGCGAAGGGACAGGCGTCAACCACCGCTGAGCTCTGTCAGTCTCGGGGCTCATCCTGTTCCTCAGACCACAGTCTAGAGGAGCCTCGGGGAGCTATGTCACACTGTTTTGCTATTAGAAGCTCTACACTGGCAGTGCTCCTGGAGTTGATTCCACTGTTCATATGTGTCATGTGCGTCGAGATAAGGAGACAGTCACTGAATTGGCCCACGTTGAGAACACACTGCCTTGTCCGCCTGGGCCAGCCTCAGTGGTCATGCTGACCTAGAGCTGAGAAGTGACGCTGTGAATGACTGTGAAAGGCATTCCTGTGTCATAGAATACACAAAGATTAAGGTTTCCTTCTAATTCTTGTTATTCAGTCACCCAGTCGTGCCCGATTGTGACCCCATGGACTGCAGCACGCCAGGCTTCCCTGTCCTTCACAATCTCCCAGAGTCTACCCAAACTCACGTCCATTGAGCCAGTGATGCCATCCAACCATCTCATCCTCTGTCGTCCCCTTCTCCTCCTGCCCTCAATCTTTCCCAGCATCAGGGTCTTTTCCAACGAGTCAGCTCCTCACATCAGGTGGCCAAAATATTGGCATTTTAGCTTCAACATCAGCCCTTCCAATGAATAGTCAGGACTGATCTCCTTTAGGATTCACTGGTTGGATCTCCTTGCAGTCCACGGGACTCTCAGGCGTCTTCTCCAGCACGACAGCTCAAAGGCACCAGTTCTTCAGTGCCCAGCTTTCTTTGCAGTCCAACTCTCACATCCACATGCGACTACTGGAAACACCATGGCTTTGACTGGACAGACCTTTGCTGGCAGTGATGTCTCTGCTGTTTAAACCCTGTGTCTCGGCTTGTCACTGCTTTTCTCCCGGTGAGCAGGCGTCTTTTAATCTCGTGGCTGCAGTCACAGTCTGCAGTGATTTTGGAGCCGAGAAAATAAAGTCCGTCAGTTTCCATTGTTACCCCCTCTGTTTGCCATGAAGTGAGGGGACCCCGAGTCCTTGATCTTTGTTTTTTGAATGTTGAGTTTTAAGCCAGCTTGTTCACTTTCTTCTTTCACCTTCGTCAAGAGGCTCTTTAATTCATCACTTTCTGCCATAAAACAGATTTAGTGAGATTGTTTAATTAAGCTGACAGAGTTTGTTTTCTTAAAAGCACTTATTTTTTCATAGACCAATTAATAGATCCATCTCTCATTTCTTTTGTTTCAAATAGTACATGCTTTTTAATGGGACCTCTGAAACAACTGAAAAAAATGTTTGAAACAACGAGATTGCTTGCAACAGTTATTATGCTTGTAAGTAAATACTGATCATTTAAAAAAAACTTTCATAGGAGGGTGTTTTTTTTTTTGGCATTATTTATGAGTTATCACCTACTTGTGTACAGAGGAACTCATGTTATACTTCCTTGGCCGAATGTAATAGTCGCATTCTTCAGGCTGTGTGTTTGAAGAGTTTGGATTATGCAGCATTACCTGAATGATTGGCGGGGGGAGTCCTGGTTTCTTTGGCATTCTCTAAAGCGTAGTGCCGGGTATTTCAGGTGGGAAGCAGGGCTGCACGTGTTTCACTCTCCAGCCCCGTACGCCTTTCTTACTGGACCGCTGTATGGACATTTTGGAGGGCGGGGCTGGAAGGTCGGGTCCCCTCTGCGTCCATCTGCGTCTTCTCTGGGAGAGTCCCCGGGCTCTCGTCCCTCCCCTGTTGGACTGTGGGACAGACCCCCGTTCTCCGTCTTCAGCCTGTGCCCCCTGCTGTCTCCTGCCTGTGCTTTTCACTGCTTTGGGGACGGGGTGTGGCGTGACAGTGCTCTCTCTGTAGGAGATGATTGCAGTGGGCTCCTTATGTAAAGCTAAGCAGACTAGGACTCACCGTCCATTAACACTTGTACCAAATACGGTGTCGGTGGTTTGAGTTACTGAGCATGAACATAAGCATCACACATCCCGGGAACAGCTGTTATCACTCATGCATTCGTGAAACAGTCTCTGTTGGCTTAGTCAGCAGATGACTGCTTACGTGTTTCCAGTTTGCCAGGGAGGACTGCAGTCATAGACTTTAAAATAACACTCAGGGAATATATAAGGACAGTTAGAGTAAGCCGCATCATTAATTTTGTTGTGTTGGTGTGTTATGCACATGAATGCAGAATGGTGTATGCATTTTTGTTAGGCTTATGAAAAGACTCAAAATCGACCATTTTCCTTGCCTCTCCCTAGCTGTGTTTCGTGCTCACCCTGTGCGCTGCTCTTTGGGTAAGTTACCTCGGCCGTGTCTGTTTTCTGCTGTGTGGACCCTCACCAGGTAAAGTGTCATCACATCGCCATCTCAGAGGCGCTCAAAGTCTGATTTCTTAGAACCCACCGAAGGCTGGTGTCCTTAAAGTCATGTGTGTAGCGTCCAGTCAGTGGCCAGACTGGCAGGGGAGCCTGCCACCTGAACGGATGGAGGCGAGGTCCTGCCTGCTTCCAGGTCAGGGCGGCCCCGGCATCAGGGCGCCTGAGGGGCCCTCACTGAGGGTCTGCTGCGCTGTCTGCTGCGCTGTGGCCCTCAGGCGGGGAGGGCATCGTGGGCTTAAGGGGTCCCAGCAATGAGAGAGGGCCAGAAAGCAGGCCAGACAACAGCGCCAGGGACAAAAGGACGCACTCTTGCACACTTACAGCTCTTCAATAGCGTCTAGAGAAGCCGCTTTTTTACAACTCTGTTTACTTCCTCATGCTCCTGATCCTTTACTGTATTTACGTATTGTTCCTGATCTACTTCCAAAGGGGATTGGGGTGGTTCTTGAGCTCCCAAGAACACAGCACATTTCAAAGATGATGGGGTGGTGTATAATACACTTCAGAAATGTTCCACCAGAAGTGTTCTGAGTTTAATTTTAATGATATAAGGACCAGGCTTTAGTTACACAAGAATTCACACAAGAATTCACTAATACCTCATTTCCCAATTGTAACTTAAAAGAATTTTCTTAAGCAATTTTTGCATATCCCTGTGGGAAATTGATTTCTGATGTGGAATGGTCCAGCAGTCTGTTTATAAGCAGTAGATTAAAAATAAGTGAAGAAGTAAATATAAAGATGGACACATTCTAAAAATGGATCATTTTAAAACAGCTATGGAAACTTTATATTATTCTAGAAGATCACAGTACAGTTTTACTTCAAAAAGTAACTCAAGGAAAGAAAGAAGTGCTGATGAGTAAGATACATCAATTCCACATAGGATACAGATCTGCTAACCAAGTGGGCTTTTCAATGTCGATTTTATTTACTTATTTAAAAAAAATACTTATTTATGTATTTGGCTGTGGCGAGTCTCAGTTGTGGCGCAGGAGATCTAGTTCCCTGACCAGAGGACCAGGGATTGAAACCCAGGCTCCCTGCATTGGGAGCAGGAAGTCTTAGGCACTGGACTGCCAGGGCAGTCCCTTGATGTTGACTTTAGAAAAGTTTGCCTTCACTTAAAAGGCCTAACATCAAAGTGGTTTAATACTTTAAGCCTTTGCACAGTTCTTTCATTAACATTTAATGCCATATATTTAGCACCATTTGAGTAAATGGAATCAGAATTCTAGAAAGAAAGTACAATTTGTGGATATTTAATTTTCAGATTTACTGAATCTTAAATTTATCATACTAAAACTTAATGAAATGAATGGAGCTATCAGTTATGTCGTTTGAAAGGAAGGAATTGAACTAGGCTGTGAAAAATATTTTAAAATGCTTAACTGGTTATATCTTTGTCTTTGCTGTTGTCAGTGGCATAAGAAGGGGCTGGCCGTATTATTCTGCATATTGCAGTTCCTGTCGATGACCTGGTAAGTCTATACGCATTGTAAAGGTGGTTTCCTCAGCAGTGTTAAGCATTTAGTTCCGAGCCTGTGAGCCTAGGGAGGTCATTGGTGAGGTTCTCCCTGCCCCGGGGGAAAGGGCCTCCTGAAGGGTCAGGTGCCTGAGGTCTGTGGTGTGTCTGGGGTTGCAGTGATGGGCGAGGCGGAGGCTCAACATAGGAAAGCTGCAGAGAGGCGGGGCCGTGCTGATGTCACACGGGGAGGCGGGGCCGTGTTTATGTGTCACACTGGGAGGCGGGGCCATGCTGACATGTCACATGGGGCTGTGGGGCCGCGCTGACGTGTCACACAGGAGACGGGTTCGAGCTGAGATCAGGGCCATAGGGCCGCGCTGATGTCACGCAGGGAGACGGGAGCGTGCTGACATCAGACGCTGCTGCACGGCCTTCTGTGCTATGTGAGCGAGAAAAGGCGAGCAATGCAAGGGGTGCTACCCGCACGTGTAAACCCAGGCCGGCCACAGGCTGAGCCCGGGGGATGGCGGGGACCCCTCTCTCTGTGCGGTGTTGCTGAGCACCTGCAGAGCGAGTTCGTCCCTGTGCCGCCTCTGGCCCGGAGCACTCGCTGCGGCCCTGCCTCCCGGTCTCCTTGCGGCTTCCGCCCCTCCGCCCGAGTGCCTGGTCCCTTCTGATGGGCCGTCCCCTTCACGCAGCGGCGTTCAGGTCTGGGCGGCACAGAGGGCCCGGTGACTATGTGATTGATGGAACGTGTCCCCCTCGCATGCTTCCGGGTCAGACCAGAAAAGTGTTTCTCACTGACAAAAGGCCTTTCAGAGTGTTCTTCCTTTCTTCTTTAGAGCTGTCTTCTTTGCGTCCTCGTAAGAGTCAGTAAACCCCTTCCTGGCTTCGCTGTTTGACATCTTGATGTCGGCCAGTCTGGGATCAGGGTGTGTGTTGGTGCTGTTCCTACGTTTCGTCTGAGACAATATCAGCACATGTTAAAGGCACTACTCTGCTTGTTGCAACATAACTTTCAGATGCTTTACTCTTTTTCAGTGACATGGAAAATTTTAAATCTTTGTTGCTTTCTATTAATACGTTGCTTTTTATTGCTGATATGTACTTAACGATTGTTTTACGCTTGAAGGAGAGTGCAGTTTATTCTGTTATTTTATAGGTTTTTTTTCTTAATAACTTAAAAGGAGTAACCTATTACAACAAGTTCAGACTTCAGCAGGCATCAGAATCACTTAAGAGTTAGTTAAAAACACAGATTGCTTATTAAAAACAACAGTTTTGCATTAAAGAGGTGTCGGTGGGCCCTGATAATTTGTCTTTTTAGCAAGTTCCCCAGTGATGCTGTATGCTGTCTGGCTCATGCTCTGAGAATCACTGTGTAATATTCTGCTCCTTCCTTTTTTTATGCTGTTAGAATATGGCCATTTGGCATAAAAAAAAACATCATTTAGATTAAATTTCAACATTTTTGAATTTTTCTTGCAGGTATAGTCTGTCATACATCCCATATGCAAGGTGAGCTTGTTTGAATTTCATCCTGTTTCTGTTTCTCTCATTCTTTTTACAAAGATGTGTGAATTTTAGTAATTTTCATATTAAAATATGATTTACAGGGCTGTTTTTTTAATTGACTTTGAGTTTGTTCCCAAAAGGAAATGAGTTTTTAAGTGAGCTCAATAGAAGCTTGCCACATAGAGTAAACGCATGTGAACACGGGCCACGGGCTGGGTGCTGACTGCAGATGTGGCACCTGAACAGCTGCAGGTCGGGGTTGTTGGCGAGAGGTCCTGGATCCTTCCACGGCTGCAAACACCCAGTAGATAGGAAGTGAGGCTGACGCATAGATGTTTGTGTTAAGCCAGGAGAAACATGTATTCTCTAAGTTGAGGTAACTGCCATTTTTAAAATTTTTTTTTTTTTTTTCAGAAAAATGTGTTAATGTAATTGTGGAGGGAAAAGCAAAACTAACTACAGGCTTAAGTGTGACAGGTTCAGAAGCATATTCTGTTGAGGCACAGCTTCTTCATGAAATCTGGAAATATAGGTTGTATATGAAAACAGCAAAACTGTATGCCTAATAGAACAGTGAAGGAAATTGGTAGAAATTCTGTTTTTATTCAAATGGGTGAGTCTTTCTGACGAACACTTAAAAGGAGAAAAAGCAAACCAGGGTGACCTAGAACAAGAGCCAGCCCTGGGGACCTTAGCTGGGAGGGCTCCTGCTGTCCCTCAACAAGGGGGAGAGGCGCCCTGGAAATGACGTCCACTGTGCTGCAGCCGGAGCACACAGCCAGGGCAAGGCATCGCTCCCCAGACGTGTCGGACCTGCGCCTCCAGCTTGTGCTTGCCCTGAACAGTTTGTATAACAGTGATCACGTTGAGACTAACTCGTGCAAGGTGAATGCGGTCTAACACATGGATTTTTTTTTTTTTGGAGTTCTTAGAATGTAGTTATAAACATTTTTGTTTTATTTAATTATTTTTTAACATTTTTGTTTTAAAATCCTGTTCATTATTTCTTTTAAAAATTTGTTTTTTGGGATTTTTTTTTATTTTTTCATAAGAAAATTAGCAATAAGTGCTGGTTAAGATTTCTGAGTAAATAAATACCATTTCAGCAACTAATAACTTATTTCCGTGTCTCAGTTCTTGATTTCAAGTGATACTCAAGAAAGTTTTAGTTAACCAGGGAATGCACTGGGGGTGTTCCACTGAGTTCTGATGGAAGAAGGTGATGGTGCCTTTGTCTCTTGGCAGGAATCTTTTTGCAAGTTTACTTTGGAGGCAAAATTATTATGTTGTTTTTCCTCTTTTTTTTTTTTCAACAGGGATGCAGTAATTAAGTGCTGTTCTTCTCTCCTGAGCTGAAAGCTGTTTGCAAAGAAGGAAACTGTTTGAAAAGACCTTTTGAAAGTTGGTGTTCTGTTTTTGGTGCAGTGTCCTTTTCCTGATACAGTGATCACTCCAGAACAACTGCACTGACCATCTAAGATCGTTTTGTATACTGATAAAACTACATACCCATTAAACTGTTAAATGCTTGTGACAGAAAATTCATTATGTGCCATTAATACGCTCTGACGAGGAGATTTTAATCATTGCCAAGTGTAAATGATTTTTAGCCAGTTTTTAAATCCTTTTTCTAAACAGCATTTGAGATGTGAATATTTAAGGATAAACCTACGCTTCAAGATATATTCAGCTTTTTTGGTGGTTTTTAAGGGTCTACATTTTTAAAATAAAAACTTTAAATGTGAAAGCTTTTACTTTAAGCTAAACCACTTTATTGTATGTAATAAAAAATAATATATAAATCTTCATAATTTTGAAATAAACCTACACTTGGAAAAAGTAACATTTTCTTGATCAAGTTTGTGATTTTTTTTTTCAAGTTTATGTTTTAAGTGGGTGGTCCGTTGATTCAGTTGAATAAAATGTAGTTTGGACACTTGTGCAATCTTTCTGCAGTAAAACGAGTAAGATAGGATCTCTGTCCTAATACCTGCACTGAGGACAGATTGGTGAAGGATGGGAAGACCGAGTGACAGAGAAAGCATCTGTCAGTGTGTTGTGCAGGGCAGGCCTGACAACAGGCGGCCCGGCCAGGTCAGGCCGGACGGAGGTACAGGGAGAGCGGACCACCGGGTCCGGCTGGGGGGCAGCCCGGCATGACAAGGCGCAGACGGAGGAGCCGGCCCACCGGGGATGGAGCGCTGCGAGGCGAGGCTGGATCCGAGGAGAAGTCGAGACAGGCAGACGTCGCCAGCTCCCCCCACCCTGTGTCCCCGGCCCATCGCTGACCCGGTGCGTCTGCAGAGCCAGGGCCTGCTCCTTAGGAGGGTGGCCTTCCCGGCCTTGGTGACTGAGCCGGGATCCGAGGGGCTCCCAGGAGGCATGGGGAGGACTCCTGAGTTGAGGGGTCTGCGCAGAGCCAGCACGAGGCCGGGCTGCTGAGTGCAGGGGGGACGCATCCAGTCCTGGGTGGGTCCTGTCTCCAGCCGAGGCCACGATCAGAGCCTCGCCTTAGGAAAATGCACGAGTCCCCAGAACCAGCCAGAAGCCCGGGGCTGTGCAGAGGACCCCTGCACGGGGCCCAGGGCTGCTGCGGGGGAAGCTGTGAGCCTGCAGACGGAGCGCGGCCGAGAGGCGGACCGATCCCTGAGACAGGCCACAGCCCCGCGGAGCTGCCGGGCGGCAGCGGTGCAGACACTCCAGCGAGCCATGCCAGGTCCTACCGGGGAGGAGGGACCCCACGAGGGGCCTCAGAGCCTGGGCTGAGTGGGACTCGGTGGACGCGTGTCCCCAGCAGGGAGGGGCGGTGTGAGAGCCCTGCCCAGGCCCAGTGTGAGAGTGACAGACTTGTCTGTTGTTAACCACAGACTTCCTCATCCAACCTTCCCGCATGCTTCTTCAGGGTGGGGTCCCCTTTGGGAGCCAGCGTTTCGTGGTCGGAGGTTCGAATCCTCAGTAGGATCGCCCCCAGGCGAGGTCCTACGGGTGTCTGCTCCCTAGGCCAGCGGCCTTCGAGCGGGTCCCTTCTGCCACCCGGCAGGCAGTACAGCAATGCTCAGCGTGGCCCGGGTGAGGGATCCTTTCAGCGTCCGCTGAGTAATAACCCCGACGCTGCACCGTGTACCGCTGGAGAAGGCAATGGCAAACCACTTAAGGACTCTTGCCTTGAGAACCCCATAACGGAATGAAATGCTACCTGATGCGAAGAGCTGACTCATCTGAAAAGACCTTGATCTGGGAAAGACTGAAGGCAGGAAGAGAAGGGGACGACGGAGGATGAGATGGTTGGATGGCATCACCGACTCAGTGGACATGAGTTTTAGTAAACTCCAGGGGTTGGTGATGGACAGGGAGGCCTGGTGTGCTGCAGTCCATGGGGTCGCAAAGAGTCAGACACGACTAAGCGACTGAACTGAACTGAACCCATGTACCGTGAGCTCACAGCGGAGCCCTGGGGCTGCAGACACGCGATCGCACAAGGATGGAGCACAGAGCAGCCACTCACTTCTGACCTGTTTGCTGTAGAAAATATCATTCTCACTACACGTTTTACTAAGTTGTTCTTAAAGTCTCGGTTTAAATGTTTAGTAATGACATCAGTAGACAGAGGCCACAGAACAGAAGCTATGTGGGTCCTGAGAGTGTCCAGGGCTCTCGAGACTCACCGGTGCTGAGCAGAGACTGTCCAAGGCCCTCGCTCCCCGGACAGAGCCCACCCCGGTCATGATGTGGGGCTGCCGAGGCAAACCTTGGCCTCTTCATCTGGAAAATGCAAGTATTACTGGTTCTCTCGGCACACTCTCAACGGGTTTCAATGACGTAATCTAGATAAAGTGGCTCACCACCTTAATGATGGGAAAAGAGAAAGTGTTAGTCGCTCAGTCGTGTCTGATTCTTTGCAACCCCCATCGTCTGTAGCCCGTCAGGCTCCTTTGTCCATGGGATTGTCCAGGAAAGAATCCTGGAGTGGGTTAACATTCCCTTCTCCAGGGGGTCTTCCCAACGCAGGGATCAAATCCAGGTCTCCCGCATTGCCTGCGGATTCTTTACCCTCTGAGCCCCCAGGGAAGCCCTAAATGTCTTTCTACTCTCAAAGCCTTTCATCCAATCAGATCAGTGTTAGAAGAAGGTGGTTTTTGTTGATGTTGTTGTTGTTACTGACCAAGTTCTCTATTTCTCATTAATATAATAGGACTTTTAAAATCCATTAAAAAAAAATCCTTTCCGTTAGGCTGTGCGGGGTCTTTGTTGCTGCCCGGGCTTTTCTCTAGCTGCAGCGAGTGGGGGCCGCTCCCTGGGTGTGTTACCCTGGCTTCTCTCGGGGAGCATGCACTTCCGGGCGAGCAGGCTTCAGGAGCTGCTGCACGTGGGCCCAGCGGTCTCGGCTCATGGGCGTCTCGGCTCATGGGCTTCGCTGCTCTGAGACATCTGGGATCTTCCCAGATCAGGGGCTGAACCCACGTCTCCTGCATCGGCAGGTAGATTCTCTACCACTGAACCACCAGAGAAGCCCTAAAATGGGATTTTTTAAAAAAAAACTAGAGTTAGCTTCCCATGGTTTAAAATTCAGATTTAGTTTTAGTTCCAGTTGTTTGAGCACTTTTCACTCTATCAAGTAAAAGCTTTGAATCAAAAGTCAGAAATGAAGTTGAGCCTATGGGAAGAGGGTGTAATTGGAAAGACAGTATTGTTTTCCTTTTTGAATTTTTCCTGAACACTGAAGTATATGCCTTAGTAGAACCAAGAACTTAAAAAAAAAAAATTAATGAGGAAAATGAAAGATTTCTTGAAATTATGGCTAGTTTTCTGATATTAATGTGGTCACTGGCTGTAATTTAATCCACTGGTAACTCCAAGGTGAGGACCAGTTGAGCAGTGTGTCTGTCTGATAAACAGCACTTGTCCACGGTGGACGTGTCCGTGGGGTCCAGGCGTGAAGAGGGAGCATGTCTGCGGCCCTTCTTTGTGGGGTACAGTCATCATTCCACAGCCTCTATCATTTTCAGTTCAGTTTCAAGCCTGTGGTACTGTAAGTTTACTCAAGCGTGGATATACTCTTGGTATTTTACTTTAGTGATTGAAATATTTTCTGCAGTTATTTTACTCATCCTGAAAATATTTTAAAGGGTTGTTGTGATGAAAAGGGGGCTTCCCTGGTGGCTCAGAGGTTAAAGCGTCTGCCTGCAATGCAGGAAACCTGGGTTCGATTCCTGGGTCGGGAAGATCCCCTGGAGAAGGAAATGGCACCCCACTCCAGTACTCTTGCCTGGAAAATCCCATGGACAGAGGAGCCTGGTAGGCTGCAGTCCATGGGGTCTCAAAGAGTCGGACACGACTGTAGCCACGGCTGGGCTGAGGCTCATCTCCTCCTCCCCCGGGCCCCCGGGGCCATGTGCGGTTGGGAGGTGTTTCTGCCCGGGAGCCCTGGTTTTCTAGGAGGCTGGATACAGTCACCGGGCAGGCCGGCACGTCCTCCTCCCCCGGGCCCCCGGGGCCATGTGCGGTTGGGAGGTGTTTCTGCCCGGGAGCCCTGGTTTTCTAGGAGGCTGGAGACAGTCACGGGGCAGGCCGGCACGTGCCAGGCCGGCACGTGCCACACAGTGCATGCATCCCGTGCGTGGAAGTACACGGCTGTGCTGACCGTGAGATGCCAACCCACGCTCACCTCCCACCCTCACCCTTCAAGGGTCACTTCCAAAGCATCCTAAGAATTAGGAAACGGGGCTTCCCTGGTGGCTCAGAGGGTAACGCATCTGCCTGCAATGCGGGAGGCCTGGGTTCAATCCCTGGGTTGGGAAGATCCCCTGGAGAAGGAAATGGCAACCCACTCCAGTATTCTGTCCATATTCTCCATAAAATACACAATCCCGCTTCCAGACAGGGCTCCCTGCTGTCCTCTCTCCTCGACCTTCTCCCCGTCCCTGCCAGCGTCTCAAGGCATCCTGTCTCCTCCCAAGGCTCAGGGGAAACACCCTGGAGACAGTTTAGGTCGTAAAACACCTGCGGCGCTGCTGAAATCACCCACGCATTTTAATCCCAGCTCTTCAGGGTGGTTTGAGGGTGATGGTGGAGATGACAGGGCCTAACCGACCCCTCCATCCCTGGCCATCAGGGGAACGTTTCCGGCCACCCGTCACGTTCCTTCTTGCCGCACCATGAGCAGGGCAGCACGTGGGCAGGGGGCCCTGACGGCGGGGAGGTGCTGGTGGGAAGGAGGGGAGCCTGGAGAGCGGGTCAGGGCCCCGGGCAGGGGGCAGGCCACAGCTGAGGGCTCTCCGTGGCCCGGGCCGTAGCCCACACCACCTAGCTGTGTTCCCAGTTAGCCCAGAAAGGGTTTCCCTGGTGACTCGGATGGC